TTTTTAGAGTGTTGAGGCCAAGACCTGGATATCTCCATTTTGTTGAGAGAGAGAATGCTTTAACAAGGTTTGTATAGCTGTGAAAATATTTTTATACCATTTACTTTGCCTAAAAAGAAGTTATTTCCTCCCATTATGAGAGAACTGATGCATGTCAACCAATTTTAGGCGTATATCTTTCTTCTCAGTAGGCATGTTCATTATGTCGTAAACTTTATGTTGAAAATGATGTAAATGTCCTTTGTCGTCCTTCTTTTGTAGAGAGGATGTAGTTCAAGCTCTTAATAATGCAATTGACAAAAGAGAAGAAGGTTTGGTTGTCAAGTCACCTTCCTCAGTTTATAAACCAAACATGAGAAATGGTATGTAAGTCCACAATATTGGGATGTCAAAGGTACTAGCCAGAAAAAGTGATGAACTTTGTCATCTTGGTAGAGAGGTGGCCTGGAAATAGAATTTGTTTGATATGGTACCACAAATGTATATATTCCAGCAAATATGCATGTCTACCCCTTGAGAGGTTTTTGGCAGGCGTTCCAGGGGGAAGGGAAACTTAAGGGGATTTTGGGCACAAGGCTAGGTTTTTTCCTGAAGAATTTTTTTCCCTGGAAATTAAACAGACCCTTTGTGGGAGTGAAAACATTGTTTGAAACCACATAATAGTCAAAACACATAGCAATATTGATTATAAGGTAATTACCTAAGACTGTAATGCTCCATTGATAGCTCTCAAACATTGTTGGCTTGTATTTTTTACTTGAAGGAAGTGGTTGGGTCAAAATCAAGCCTGAATATGTCGACAGCTTAAGTGACGAGGTATTAAAACTTTTTAGTGGCAATCGTAACCTTTAAAATCATGACATCATTTATCTTTAGGTTTTGAGTCACCTATGTTCTGCTTTTAGGGTGAAGTAAAATGTTTAAAGCGTTCACCAAAATGCGAAGGCAACTTCCTTGCTGAGTGGCCAATAGCTTCCTTGTTTTTCAATAGGTTCTTTGTATTCTTTTATTGAATCACAGAATTATTTTGCAATAGGAAGCGATTATAGAATAATTCAGCTTTCATGGCATTTCTCAAAAAGATATTATCTTGGCTATCTTGCATGATCCTTGTCTGTCAATTTTATCAATGCATTAATGTGGGTACATGGCCAAGCTGTGCTTGTATTCTTAAACAAAACACTGTTGATTAACCATGCAGATCAGGTTTTGGTGTGTTTCATGCCTCCAAATAATGGAGACTGGCGCAAAATGAAGAGTTGAGGAAAAACGTGGGAGAAAGAAAAAGGTAGAAGGGGGGGATCTTTTGCCCTCTCCGCTACCCGCACTGCCTCGCTGTTTTTTTTTGTGCTCACTTCACTTTACCCAGTCGGCATTTGAACGCCTGGAACAAGCTAAGGTTTTGGAAACTTTAGTTAGCGTCACTTCATCCGTAGAACCTTAAAGAATGAGGGGCCAGAATCAAGATTTGCATTGCATTATGCCCTTGGCTTATTCCTACAGTTGTAGCTTGCCTGTGTTTTATACTAAAAGATTATTTGACTTCTTGACCAAGTCAAGTCATGGGACAATAACCAGAAAGTCTGTCATTCTTGTTTCAGTCTCTATTTACTTATTTTTTATGACGTTTAGGCCTTTTCTTAGTACTAAAGAAAGTTATTTTAGGGGATGTGCTCATATGTTCAGGTTATTTTTAAGCCTTTGAACAGGGCCAATAACTTGTATCTAAAAACAAGATAGAGTGCATGTCAACTGACTTAATATGACTAACTGCAATTTACTGTCAAATACTTACTTGTAGCTGGACCTCGTAATCATTGGTGGTTATTTTGGAGTTGGTGTAAGTAAGAGCATTATATAATTTACCTTTAAGTTATTAGCTTCATCGCTGTAATGTCGTCACTGCACACTTATGGGATAAATAATATAACATGAATAATCTTCATTTACCCGACTCTTTATATGACACAGTTTCAATATTTTTCCTTTTAAGTAGCAGACATACGGGTAAATACACTTTAGTTTATGCCTTTCTTAAGTACAGGATTTGTGATCATATCTTCTCATTTTTTCTGCTGGGTATGTGAAGTTTATACGTCCCAGCTGTGTACTGATCGTGTGAATGACAATGTTTATAGCGCCGCAGTGGTATGATATCTCATTTCATGTGTGCTGTTGCCGTACCACCAGTTGTACCAGGAGAACATCCTAAAGTGTTTCATTCATTTTGCAAGGTACAATATATATATTTAGCCGAGGCTAAAGGCGAAGCTCCTCTTAATGAAAAGGCATTGCAATAAAGAAATCCAATTATAGTTAAGCCAGCGATCAGTTGAAAACTAGAAACTTGTCAATGGTAAACCCCCCAAAACATGTAACCTCGATGGGTCGAAACCTGGGCCCGCGATTCGGTCATGTGATACTGATCAGCGAAGACTTTGTTTTGATAGCTGTCAATTGACCACAACGTGGATGTGCATTATCAGATTGCAGGCTCCCACACTAGCTAGAAAGTGTAACATTTCACGTTGGTTTCGCTGTGGTGCGAACGTGCGAGCGGGCGAGTGGACATAAGGTCACGTGACTACCACAATTTCTTGTATGGATAGGTATCCAAATTTTCTTAGCTAGGGGGCTCCGCCCGTTTGCGCTTCGCGTGGGTATGGAGCTCCGCTAATAAAGCGGCATAATAAAAACACTGTAATACAGTGATCAGGTCTTCTATAGATCCTACGTTCTGCGGCATATTCGTTTGCGGTCCTTTGCAGTTTAAATGTCATTATAGTACAGGCCTGTGAAGGAACTAACGATAGAGTTGAAGATTAAGAGATGTGCGATACTCAAAACAGTCTTAAAAGCAAGAAAAAAAGGCTGAGAAATTTGAAATAGATATAACAGCTTTACATTACTAACTGAACTGTGTATCATTTTTGTATAATTCATGTTTGCCGATCATCTTTGCAGTAAACTCAGATTATTTTTCTTTGCTTCTCCGTACACATTATCTATTCACTCCTAGGGAGGCCGTGCAAACTTTTGTCCATCGATACCTTTCTAAGACAGTGTTGTTATTGTATTGACAGGTGTTTGAAGTAACACAGGAGAATATGATTTCTGTTTTTCCTATCGTAGGTTGGATCTGGGTATACAATGAATGAGTTGCATGAACTGGGCCAAATGCTACACGCAAATTGGAAACCGTTTGATACTAAAAATCCTCCTGAATCTATTGTTTTAGCTACTGGATACAAAGTTAGTAAATGTCCTTATTCAGCACCTGACTTAGTTTTCTGAGTATGCTTATTGAATCTGTGATAGAAATTGATATATTGAATTTTTTTATGGGCCATTACCAGTCCATCTCAGAGCGTTTTAGATGCAACAGCCCCCAACAGCCTTATTTTCGTAGTGTTACCTGCCTATGCTTTTTGATATACACACACCCAAGTCTCATAATTGTTTCTGTGGAATAATAGATTCGGCTTATGTTTGTTGCGTTACCGTCTGCATTTTGCACTAAAACGTTTCGTTAAAATGGGTATCGGGAAGCAGGTTAAAAGGGCGCTAGAAAGTGAGAATGAACAAACAGAGCTAAATGAGGTTATAGAATGGAGGTAGTTTTAGCGCTAGGGTTCCCATTTTTCGTCCGGCCTTCCTTTTTCCATGCATTCCCCGTTTTAATAGCATTCCACCTAATTAATGATCTACATACCACAGTTCACACCTCGCTTCGTTTTGAAACAGAGGCTGTTGGGGTAAGTGAGGGGGTGGGGGGGATGGTGGGCAAGGGGAAATTTTTTTTATAAAGTTGAAGTGTGATAAATGAATTGGTCTTTTTTCAATAAGGAAAAACCAGATGTTTGGATTGAGCCGTCAAAGTCAAAGATAGTCCAGGTCAAGGCAACAGAAATTATAAACTCCGACAAGTACGTTTTATGCTTAATGTGTCCCCAAAAAAACATTTTTGTAGAAAATATCCGTAAGTAAATTACCTGATGGTCTTCAATACCGACGTATCAGCACCTTTATTAAATTCTTTTAATTAAGTGTGGTATTATTCATCCTATCCATTCGTTTTTTCGATTCCCCGCAATTCTAAAAGAACTTTGTTACTGGCCCACCTTAAGCTGTTACCTATATTGACGGGAATGAGGTAAAAACAAACAGGAAACGAAGAATCATGGCGTAACAAGCTAACCATAAAAACATAAATGGAACTCCCTCATGTTTGAAAAAGGCCTTTTCCGGGCCAAAATGTAGTCGGGATTACATGTAGTCTTCAATCTGCCAAGCACACAACATTATTATTTTTTGTCTTCATGAAGGTTTAAGACTGGTGTAACACTTCGCTTTCCGAGGCTGGAAGCAATTCGCACCGATAAGATGTGGTATGAATGTCTGAATCTAACTGAACTTGCCAAGCTGAAATCAGTGAGTTAATTACGCTACTCTAGTACTATGAAAATGATCCTAAATTCCTTTACATTGTACGTATTTATTTAGAACCACAGTTATGAAAACATACAAAAATGGGGAGTTTCCTTCATTTTAGCTGTACCGAATTGTTACCATTTGATCCATTCATTACTTTAATGCCTGTGAGTCTTACAACTTTGTTTTAATATGTAGATAGCAGAGGGCAAACTGACATACCAACATACAAATGCAGAGAATAGATCGGCTGAACCTGCTAAAAAAAGGCGAAGGGAGGCTACAAGAGTTGATAATGTGCGCACTGTGGCAGACCATTTTAAACCAGCTGATTTATCCTCTGTCAAACAAGTAAGTTATTTTGTATTGTGCCTATTGATTGCCCTTTCACTTTGAAATCAGTGTTAACACTGGAAGTAGTGAATTAAGCACAAGTCACTGAGTTTAGCCAGTGAAGACAACTAGAAGAAAACGAAGTACGGCTGCTTTAATTTATTTTAGATTGATTTCCAGGATATCGATTGAGACTTTTTTCATTTTTTTCAAATTATCCATGGCTTTACAAAATATTGTGTAATAATGATAATCATGATGATGATGATGATGAAAAAAAATAATAATGATCTTCGTTTTTCTCTGATAAAAGTACATATCAAGTGTTGCGTGTGCTGTATTAAACTAAGTAGTTATTAATACTAACTGAAAGCCCGAAAAATACTATTAATAGCTAATAGATTATAATTGAAACTTGGTCTATTGATAAATGAGTAATGTATGTTATATTCCTATATCAGGTCTCTCAAATATTTCAGGACAAGGAATTGTGTATCGTCAATGGTCCCCCATCTCATTCTAAATCCCTATTAGAGAAAAAAGTTGCTGAGGTATTTCTTGTTTCCTTGTTCTTTTCAGTGTACAATTCGTGAAAAAGATAATATAATAATAATAATATTGATAATAATAATAATAATGCATGCACACACACACATGCACACATGCACTGAAAGATCTGCAAAGAACAATCACATGAGCATGTACCCAAGACTGTCACCTAGAAAGACAGCGTCACCATTCTATGGGACATACCCATCCACACTGACAGGACCATCGCAGCTAATTGGCCGGGCATTGTGCTAAATAACAAGAAGGATAAAACCTGCCTTCTCATTGACATGACTATACCTCCCGACACCAACACCTCAGTCAAAACTACGAAAAAGCTTAACAAATACAAGGACTTGAAAATCGAGGTTGAGCGAATGAGGGGGCTCAAAACAACAACAGTCCCAGTGGTTATGGGAGCCCTTTGTTCCATCAAGAAGGACATAGAAAACTATATGAACAAAATCCCTGGCAACATCAACATACGTGAACTCCAGAAATAACTCTCCTTTCTACAGCTTACCTTCTCAGGCGGGTCCTCTCCATCAAGATAAAAATTAAGCCTCTTTGCCTTCTCCCAAAGTCCATGGTTTGGACTCGGATGTTGAGAGAGAAAATCTCTCGCAATTACACTAGTATATCTTGATTATTAATAATAATAACAATTAGTATAATTAGTGTATACACACTCAGTGATCTTGGTGATTTAAGCAATCTTATTGGTTCACTATCTCAGACTAATAATAATAATAATAATAATAATAATAATAATAATAATAATAATAAAACTCTAATGGCTGTCACAATTACTGGTAGACCCAGTAGTTTACATTGTGGGCCCAGAAAGATGACAAGGCTATTTACAAATAATTTGAAAATGTAAAGGATATCGTGAAAAGAAGTTAAAGAATAAAAAATTGAAAATGGTTAAAAATAGCTACCTAAATTAGTACAGTACAATCGAGATAAAGAAAGAAAAAAGGTAACTTAAAATGTCCTTGCAATACTAAAATGTTTGCGACTTGCATTAATATTTAAGAATCTCTCGAGCAAATGTTTCTTAAAGTTACTTTCATTTGTCATGTTTTAAGCTTGTCTTCTAGACGATTCCAGAGGCGAGTCGTCCTCTCATGAAATGTTCGTAGACACGCGTTTGACCGGCATTTCGGTACAGCAGCCAAGGCATTATTAGAAGATAATCGAATGTTATAGCTATGGGTATTTTTATAAGTTCTATAACTTGTCAAATAATCTGGACATTCCTTGTTCACCATTTTGAACATCATACACAGTTTTTTTATGCGTATTATATCGTCAATCGGCAGCCACTGCAGTTTCTGGAACATTTGTGTGGAATTATCTAATAGCCTGGCATCTAGTATTAATCTACGGCAGCGTTTTTGAACTCCAAGTATTCTCAACAGCTGTCGTTTAAGGCATTACCCTAAACCGAGCAACAGTATTCAAAGATAGGCTTCAGGAGTGCATGATTGTCTATCCTGACGCCTGAATAGTGGCTTTAGGACCATTTAGCGAGCTTCGAAGCGGCGAGGTAAATATTCAGCCACTATTCACCTCGATTAAAAAGAATAATTGTTAATTATAATTATAATCCTAGAGAAGCTTCATGTAGACACAGTCACCACCAACAAATTGTTATTAAGTAATCTGAAAGGAGAAACAGAGGGGCTACTGGTGTAGCAGCTCAAGACCAGGCGATAAACACCAGAAACTAACAGAAAGTAATATGTGGCCAGCAATTGGAGTGCAAATGCAGAATGTGTTCACAACATGAAGAGACAGTGGACCATATTGTATCCGGATGTGAGGTATTAGCCAAAACAGAGTACATCTCCAGGCACAATAAAACTGCAGCGTATCTCCACTGGAGCATTTGTAAAGATCATCATATCGAGATTACAGACAAATGGTACGAGCCAGAGACTGCGATGCACAATAAAGACAACAACGTCGCCATTATTTGGGACATGCCAGTCAATACTGATAGAATATATGAGCGAACAGACCAGTTATCATCGTTACAGATTCAGTGAATTCCACCCGCAAACTGATTGATATGACTATTCCATCAGCTAGAAACATCACACTGAAGGAAGTCGAAAAGAAAAGCAAGTACAAAGACCCAGACCTAGAAATACAGAAAGTGTGGCAGATGAAACCCGAAGT